CTTAATTCAAAGGTCTAACATAATAAATCAATCTAAGATCAATAAAATAGGATTTAGCAACAACAGACGACAGTGGTCAGTGTTTCCTCATGGGACGCAACTCGTGTTGTCCTTCTAAATGTGCGGTTATTAATGGGATTAGCTACGATGTCCATCTGCACGCGACACAACGTTCTCCGCCCTGGGGGAATTTAAACTCTTGAGCCAAACGACACAACGAAGGAAATGCAAAAAGATCTGATTTCAGATCTGATGAAAATAATACATGTAGCTTGAATTCCAAACCGTTCATTTTAATTAAGGCTTGGGGTATATCAGTTTTTCTTGAAACCAATCAGTACATGTATTATCGATTGTGTTGCTTGTATACAGTATTTTACAAGTAATCAATTTTAATGAAGTTTATATTCAGAATAGTTAAACCTCTGTATGTTAAAGGAGATCGCCAGGAAATCCCGGATGTTGTCCTGAAGATTATCCAGTGTGGTTACCCCTTATCAGTGTTGCAGAGTGAGTGGGATGGTAAGGAAACAGCGTCTAGTCGTTCGGATTTTACAAAAAATCGGGGTCCTCTCGTGTACTCGTTCACGTAAAAGTACTCTTGATAGTTGGAGGATTAGGTGGAAACGCCACTGTCCGGATAAATGTTCCTCGTACCACCCTGCGTCACGTATGCATCGTCTTCATTAACCCGGCTGGTATATAAACGTGTGACTTTATGCCCCATTTCATTTAACGGAGATGGGTCAGTGAAGTAGCTCGAATCGCCTTAACAAACAATTCTAGGAACCACTCACCGAGTTTTCTCAATAAATAGTTCCGAAACCGGAAAACGCTAGATCGAAGACGGTCTATCGCAAATGACGTCATATGTGGAGTGTGGGTTAGGGTTAGGGTTAGCGCTAGTCCTGTATACATCTAGGGGCCTTGACGAAATATGCAGCCCGAACCCTTTCCCTAACCCACATATCTGCTGGACTATCTTCGATCTAGCGTTCTCCTCCGAAACCACTCACAGTGAAAATTACACATAAAACTATAAAAGTAAGGGGTTGACACATCTTAGAAGTCTGCGATACCACTTTAGTGGAAGCAGACGTTAAAGAACCAACTTCATCATCAACCATCTTAAAATGAATAAATCTGACCAGTTCTTTCATTACAACGCCTGTTATAATCTTAAGTTATTTCCTGTTATTGGAGGGGTTCCTAGAAGTAATTGGTTTGGTTGAAAAAGACCATTTCTATTCTATTGTACGTACATTAAAGATAAATCTAGGATAACAACACATTTTTTAATGTATGTATTTTAATATTGTACCCAACCTAACTAAGTTACTACAACTAGTTTTTGACTATAGAAGAAACTTTATTCCATAAAATAAACTTACAAGGTTATTGCATATATGAATACAAATCCATACATGAAACAAACAAACATACTGTACATACATAATTATACATACGCAGGGATATAAACTTACAATGACTCCAATGATTGGTATACAAAAGCTCCTAAGCAATTTGATATTTCTACATTTTTATTCTGCATCAGTATTTTAAATGTTGGGAGCCGTTCATTTTATTGAAGGTTTGTATTGGTTTGGGGGGTTTTTCTTCATAAAAGCAAAGTTTGTGCTGTTTGCGCACTAATTCCTGAAAGTTGGGTCTAACTCAATGTCCAAATCTGGAAACCGTAAACTTTAAAAGACATCTGACAAATTTATACCCTTAGAAGACTTTCAATCTGATAATATTTACTTATCATCGCCATCATTTTACTGATTTGGTCACGTGCTACTCTGTAATACGTCACAATTTATTACAAGTGAGGCTCGCGTCACGTGCGCCTCGTCTTGGGAACCCGTGAGTGACAGGAACAGATGACGTTATTTGTCAGAGTGTATATAAACGGAAGTGTGTAATTTGAATTACGTATGGTGTTTTACTCCAAATTAACTGTATAGATTAGAAAATAACTTTTGTTGAATTATGCTTTTTTGGAATGCGAACACGTGTTTTGTTTCCTGTAGGCTGTAGTGAAATTATAGTTATATTAATTCTAACGCTCACACTGTCACGGAATGGAAAAAAGAAATCCCCCTTTTCAAAAACTGTGACACCAGTGTGAGAAAATTGTAGGACTTTTTGTTTTGAATTGTTTCTGGCCAGTTAAGAGAATGTTTGACATATCTAACTGATAACTGTTAAAAATTCGGTGCTTGGTGGGAAAAGGAGGGGGACTATGTACTGTACATAAATGGCGATATAGTGTACTGTTTCATTGTACATATTAACTAGTCCGTCATTATTACAATTTCAACACGTTTTATGTAGCTTCAAAGACCGATCGAATGTAGGGTTTATCCAAGGGTCACTCGGAGACGGTCAAACGGGCATGCATATTTGTTTGTACTACAACAATGCTTCTTTATTATCATTATCGCACTGTCTTCACGGGGTAATTCGATTGATTATTCATAAGCCAAACATGATGCTGCACAAAACTGCTAGTCTCTAGGCTAAAATATGTTACAAATGCGGTTTTAGTGTTTTTAAATATGCGAGTAAAGTAAATCTTTATAATAAACAATCAAGTTTGCTTTTTTTTTCGAAATTAATATATAAACTGAACTCAGTGATCATAGAAATAAAAGGATATAAAATCGCCATTCTCTGTTTTATGTATTTTTGTCGACTTTTCTTTCCGCCGTGATATTTTATAGAGCCTCGTGAACTGTTAAATTAGCGGGATTAAATTAAGATAGAGCGATAACGCCTCTTCACGCTTCGTTAATTTTAATAGATAGCTCATTAATACTTCAATTACCTCCCCTTAGATGGTTCTTCAAAGCAGAAATGAAAAACTGCAAGAGATTGGAGATAAATGATGTGCGACTTAAGTGTGATAAATCAGATTTAGTTAAGAATAACTAAAAATATAGGTTTTATCTTAAATAGATACAAATTGTGTACGTTTTCCGAAAGTCGGTAAATTATTTGATACGAAACCACCATATTAGAAAAAAACACGTGGATTGTATCTCCGCTGTAATTCAGTGTACTTCAAACGTAGATTATTCATATTTCCCTCAAGCCTCGTTATTATTATTAAAGATTTATTCAAATAACTCTGCCCCCAGACTGGGTTTAAGACCCGAAACAGAATTGATCAAATTTTATGAAGAATAAGTCTGTCTCGTGCCTATAAATAAGGATATAAATACTTTAATACTGTCTGCATATACTATATATATCTTGATTATGCTGTATATAAAATAATAAAGGATTTATAGATCTTTGGTCATAACTCATGAAAGTTGAATATGATTCCTTTGAATTTACCTGACTTTTTTTCAAAAATACAAAAAAAGATTAATATATAAAACCCCATAAAAGACTATAATTTCAAAAATCTCAATGTTTAGATTAATCATGTAATTTTCTGTACGATCTTATGAAATTACGAATATTGTTATTCGGGTTTGGAAGCTGCATATGTAGACATATTGACTTTTTCAAATCACAATTTTAAAATATGTTTTGTTGAGATAAACTGTTAAGATGCGTCGCCCCTGGTGTGTCGGTTATTACCGTTATACATAGAACACAACAACATATTAGTTATGTAAGCTATGCGATTTCCCCAAATAAACTAGAAGCGGTAAAGACTGCTCTATAAACCAGCATAACCAGCCTCGCACATGACACACGTCACTACAAGACGGTAAAACGAGAGAGTTTGAGCTTAGGTTTTATAAACTGAAGCTACTTGCTAGAATGTACTATATGAGAAATAACCATATTGAATGCAAGAGTACCATATGAAACCCACAAATGAAAAGTGCTTTCAAGCTAAAAGTACAACGACAATGCTTATAAATTTCTAAATACAGTGACATGGCGTTTAACGTTCTATTTTTCTGCACCGACTGGGCTAATGAAGTCGAAAATTTCCAAAAGCCACGAGGAAGTGGTATTATAGGTAAGTATTAATATTCTTATAGTAATATACAGCAATGTATATTGGTCATTGTTTTCTATTAACTCGTCAGGTTTAGATACATATACATACAATATATCGCACTAAATATAGATATGTAAAAATATATGTTCCCATTATAGATACGGAATATTTACAAATTTGTTACTGTAGTAATACTCAGTCTAACTTATATATTTTCTAATCTTATAACCGAAGAGAAAAGCAAGTTCCACATTTTTCAATAGTTGCATCTTAACTTGTTCAAACAGCTATCCGTTGTTTGAGTAACGTAGATAACTCAACGGCCAAAATAAAACTGTCAAAATTCGTGTGTTTTTTCCACCGTTAAGAAGAAAATAAACAAAAGAGTATCGAGGCAGCTTCTATTTTCACAGTAGCATTCAAACGAGAAATCATTCTAAATAAACACAAAATTATGTTGAACACGCTTCTATGGACATTTTTCGAATGATTTGCCGAGGTTTGTTAACATAATGGACGACAAGACAAGCTAACTTTATCGAGTGACAGTTTAGGAAAAATTACGTGATTTTTCTCTCTTTATTCCAGTATTTTATATTCTCTCACACGCCGCTGTTGACAAAAGTCTAATTTAAACCCCAACTCAACAATACCGTGTGTACAAATCGTCCGCAGACAATACATTATTGTCTTAAAGGGGCGGCGTCGATAGTTGACGAATCTGTCGAAACACGTCTCAAAAGATGTTGTTATTTATTCTGTAACTTTCTAAAATAACCACAAAAATATTGATAATTTATTCCAGAAAAATAATCATAAAAAGATCTCTAACTTTTAAGCCGAAAAAGAAACATACTGCTTCTGTTTTTTTTAAAGTGCATTTATCTTACAAATTGTGCTATTTTCTCTGTTTATTTTTAAACTGAATAAAAGTCAAACCCATTGTGCAGTTCATCATAAGAGTCAATTGTCCGCTTTTCCGTTTTCACTTGAAAATAAAGTGAACAAAAAGACCATGATAGCGTATAAATAACGACACCGCGCCTCCGTTCTCTGTGATACTCGATTTATTAAAGTGAAGAAAAGGGGCGGAGCTAGAATCAGAGCTCGCGCAGTGGGCGGTACATGATATCACGTGTGAGATAAAGACTGCGTGTTAAACAAGGCCTGATACAGCGGCTCCATGATCTTTGGTCGTTAGCGATTGGTTTAAAACACTTGCTAATAAATCCACAAATGATGGAATTGTAATGAGAAGCAACGAGGAACAAGTGAATTTTGTTGTTTGTTGAGCGATTTCTTGTAGTAAACTGTGTGTATTTAGCGAAGTGGTGTTTCCCATGTTTTAGTTCAACTATAAGATCGAGGTGTGTGATGTGTGTATTAACTTTTACAGCTAGTTCCTAACGGTGTTTACTATTGTGATGCTTATCTATTGTTGATAATAATATACTATACCTTATATACCTATATGTATATATACCTCTAACCAGTGGACTAATACTATTCCCTCTAAGAACATTGATCGTTCTCTCCGGACATTGGACACTACCAGGACATGTCCACTACGGCTTTTACAGCATATAGCCTAGCCTCTTCTACTCCTACGTCTCTGCCAACAGCACCAGTAAGTCGATTTGATATTCTTGATTTTTATATTAATAATGACAGTTATACAAATTCAGTTATAACGTTTTATACATATCAGTTTTCTTTTGATTATCATTTTTTAAAAATAAATATTGAATAATGTTATAAAATCATTTCTATATCAGATATAATATGTTATACCATATCATCAATTTATTATTGAATATATATAACTATCACAATATTGTTTTCTTTATTATAATTCGCAATTGACTGATATTGAAATAAATATGTTTTACAAAAATAACCAAATTGACCACATTGATCAATAATACAACATACATATATACACACAAATATATATTCAATAACAAATGCACAGTCTTTGATAAGATATCTTAATAATGCCCTCGTTATTCTAGATAACTAGGACAAGGGCTAATTAACATTAACCAAGACTAATCAATCAGTAATCGAATCATCTAAATTTGTTTACACAATGTCATAAAGCACGATAAACGATGGGGCGCTATTGAATATAACGGTCGGGAAATTCGAGAAGTTAAACGTTAAGGCTATTATCGCAGATATTTAGAGAGAGAGGAGAAAAGCTTATCAGGGACTGTCAAACTATTAAGATATAGATTTCGAGTGACACATAACAGAGATAATCAGGGCGATAACGGGCTTTTTGGTATTCTGTATATAAATATTACATACAGTTATTTATACTGACGAGAAAGGGGACAATCGGTGTAAAACGTATTAAATATTCCAAGTATCGGCAGTTCAAATCCAGATGAATTCCACAAACCAGTGTTGTATGACCATAATATATAATATATTTAGGCTTAACTATTGGATATATTTCAACTAAAGGATGTCCCCTCGTCTTTTAAATTTCTACAGGAACACAATTATTCCATGTAATTGACGTCTCACTAGCTTAATCAAAATAAGTTAAGAAAAGAAAATAATAATAAAGGATAAACGATCAGGGTGAATATTTTATATAACATAATTTATGGAGTTTTCAATAATAATCCAGTATTATATATGTACACCTTGTGAGGGAATATACAAGTTTCTTGTATTAGATGTTTTTACTATAATAATGTATGTAATAAATGAAATGGGGTTTAACATCCTACTATTCTGCACCAATCGGGTTAATGCAGGGGGTATGTAATAAATGAAATGGAGTTTAACGTCCGACTATTCTGCATCAACCAACCGGGTTAATGAAGGGGGAGGGGGGGGGGCTGAATAAGTTATGTGGTATTATATATTTCACTGCATCGAAGACAATTTTATTCGTCAAATTCCGCTTTCAGTAGTTCGGTTGTTGCAGAAATGTATGACGTTAAACACCATTTCGTTTTTCAAAAAACACACTGAATTATGTGATAAGTTTATGCGTGGTATATTTTAACAATCCATTTGAATCAATAAAATCCATGGCATGCAGTGCTTGCTTAAGAACTATGAACATGCACATAAGAGAATTTAAAACTTCCATAAAAATCGCTAATAAAAATTATTCACACCACCCAGAAATCCTTTGTAGCAATTTAAAAAAACAACAATATTTCTTTTTTAGTGGATTTTTATATTGAAATAAAATAGATTTGAAAATAATATAAAACTAAAAAAAATTGCTAATCCGAAGAAAAATATTTTTCATGCACTTAAAGCAACCAGTGCTGTTTCAGTTGTTATCAGAAAAACTTTACGAGCCGTTTATATCAATCTAAAACAAAACTACAGGGTGTTAAGTTTATTTCTTTTACCACCCATATTATTTGAAATAAGTACACAGGGGGGTGAATAAATCCACAAAAGGATACTTTTTACATCAATAACATTTTATTTCATTAATATAAACCAGTTTTCATATCGAATGGTGTGTGACGAGTGAAGCTTTTTTGTATTTTGAAAGTTGCAGCTTGCCTCTGTTATTTCACATGCTAGACTATACGCGAAATCTTTAAGCATTCCTCCAGATGCATTGTGTCGACTTAATGTATCTTTCCTGGCTAAAGAGTTACAGGAAATGTATGTCTAAACATTTCAGTATATTCAATAGTCGGCTCTGCGTCTATTATGCTTTACATTGTGAAGCTTTCTATAGCATACATCTGAAACATGACTGCCACCTTTTCAAACGATATACATAAATCGTTTTGACCACGATAAAAAGAGCGTCTTATTTGCCCAAGAAAAATGTCATCCATAAAACCATAAATCACAAAGCATTAATTTAACAGCGTTTAGTATACAAACGCCATCTAAACATAAATTATAACAAAACGTGGAAAAATGAAATCTATGTTGAGAAACATGTACCGGTACTTACTGCATGTGTTGCTATATAACACCAATGCTTTAATTTTATAGCAAATTAATTAAAAACAAATAACTATCTATCAAAGTTATGGTTCAGTAAAACAATATGAATTAGATATTAACGTCCGACTGTTCTGCACCATACGGGCCCATGAAAACTCTCGGTAAAAAACTAAGCCTTTAACAAGCGTTATCTAAAATACATATTCACCTGGAGTATGTTATATGTATTGAGTGAATTAGAATGCTAGTATTTTGAATTTAACATAATGTGAACAAAATAATGTACAATAGTTCAAGTAAAACATAGTAATATTATAGTGTTAAATTCTAGTAAAACATAACATAAAAACAATATAGATTTTCAAATAAAACAAGTAATACCTGTATGTATATTTGTAACCTAATGTAATATAGCCACATTCAAATACATCCACTTTAAGCAAATAAAGATACTATTTAAAATGCAAAAACACCCATATATTAAAAGTTATAGCATAATATTTCACTGTGTACACGATATACGCACATTTATATACGCACAAATGAATACAATTCACATTCTAGCCACGTTCTACAACTAATTACATATCATACCTAAATTAGACGGCGTGTCAAATCATCTTGTTCAACGTGATTCTATGATTATAAAAGTCATCATTTCAACCGAACTTGTATATAAAACATCACCATTTTACACGAGTTTTACTACCATAATTTCATGTAAGAATATTATCATAAATAATACCTACACCATCGAAAAAATCTTATGTATAGTTTGAAAAAATAAGGAGATGCTTTTGACGTTTAGAACTGAGATTGTTATGTTTCATATGGGTCCTAGTTAAATAGTAAATAATATAACCCAGAGATACAATCAATCGAACTCGGGTGGCTAGAAATATCATTTAAATTTATATTTCCGTGAAATTAAAGCTCAAATAAACGAAATACGAAATGTCTGCGCGCTTACATGTACAGACGAAATATATTATGGCCAATCAAATTTAAAATACTGAAACTTGCGCATATTCGACATAGATTTAACAACAAACTGACAAATCACAAATCTACCTAAACAAAGTATTAGAATTGAAATAAGTCAAGAATTTAGAGATTACATGTAGATCTTGGTATATATTTATCCCAAAAATAACAGTAATTATATAATCTCTTTAAATATACAATATGCTCATTGTATACGTTCATTTATCAGTAAATAGAATTAGGTATCGTAATTCTAAATACACTTTTTGGTCAAAGAAAATATTCAAAGAATTCCATTTTTTATCCCGTGATTTAGAATACTGCAACACTGAAATCTGCTAAAGTCATTATTTCTAGAATTTTAAGTCGCTCTAAGATCACATTTCTTGTTTTTCAAAGTGGTTTTTACACACATACATACAAATTACAATTTGAAGAAACATGGACGAAATATACAAAATACGTATACTAGGAATTTATAGTCATAGGTGCCCTGAAAGCGGATGTATATTGGTAGTTTACACCTGGCTCTTTTATATCCAATCACTTTAGGAATTGTGAGGAAAATTGAAGATACTTTTAATCATGAAAATACAATGTTTTCTAAACTATTACACCAATTTTGATAAATATGGCCAATTCATTGTTGCAAAATATATTTTAAAATAATTATTTTAGAAAAGTTTTTTTTTTTGGTATGAAGTAGTTAGTTACAAGCTTGTATGACTCACGTACACAAACATGAAATTGAATGATTGATTCTGTATGATTTAAGTACAGTTTTGACATTTGAAATAATTACATTGTCATCTCGCATTGATCATAAACCAATTGATAAATAAGCAGTATATAAATCATGTTTCAGGTATGTATATTATCACAGTTTCGAATTTTGATTGTATGTATTTAAAAAATCAAATTATTTTTCATTATTTTCACAGATGACGTCGGCGCCATCAGCAACCCCCGGTGGTCGAGCATGTTGTGAAAACGGACGTCCCATATTAACCGATCCGCACACAGGGCAGACGATATGTTCCTGTCAGTATGGTGCCGCCCTTTTAAATTACCCCAGAGTTCCTGGTCTTGCTGAAAGTGTGTACAGTGCTTCTGCGGCTTATGCTGCAGCGGCATCTCAAGGTTACGTTTCCCTCGGCGCAGAAGGATCTGCGTTTTATTCTCCTTTGGTGAGTATTACCGTGTTTGGAATAAAATCACTTTTTTCAACACACAATTTGTGATATTTACAAATGTAGAGAAATGGTTATTGAATAAAAAAAATCAACAAAAAAACAACCGGAGACTCATTATAAATCCATTTCTCAAAATATTGAAATTTCAAAGAAAATTGATGACATTGTGACTAGCTAATACTTTAAATGCATTGCCATACTTAAATTTTTTTGAGGGCCCTCTATTATATTAATTCAAGAAGAAAATAGAAATCCAATTTTTAATTGTCTTCGATTCCTGGAATGTTTATTACGGTTTAATTATTTATGAGGAACACTGTGTTTATTTGCCATCTTGAACGATCCATTGTGAAAGTAAACAAAGATTATGATCTAAATGATCAAGCTTTTCATTACCAACGTAGTTTAATCAACCTTAAGTATTCCGCCATGTTTCCTATTTCAAGTGAAAGTCACGGGGAGGGATCCCCTTATTTATTTACTCAAGAAGAAGCGGTGACGTCTTAATTTCACACCCCTGCTAATAAAGCCCTATCAGTTTACTAGAAGTACTTGTGATCACTCGGCACCGCAGTGGGCAGTAAATCACACATGGGCCACGTTTAAACAGGTTCAATTTTATGATCTGTTTGATTACTTCATTATGGACGTCAATATAATTCTTTGTCCATACTGCAGCTCTCCAAATTGAAATATTATAATTTGACGCTTGTCGCTATCTTTCAAATTATCCACTATTCGAATGATGTAATACGCACCCTTTTTTAAAATTTTTAGTGTGAGCCATTCATCAAATCACGCACACTCCGATACTTCATTCAATTAAATTTCGATTTACAAAACTATTTTAGAACATGCTGATATTTAGTCATACAATACTGAATGGTCGTATACTAATTTATTCAAGATTTAGGATACAAAACCGCTTACATATTCACGCTTACATATTCATAGATAATTCCATGCACATTTTGTATTAAAAACATTATATTTTGTATTGAATATTTTCGTGTTTATTCATTCAGGCTGGTGGGCCGTATGAGTTGAAGGACAGTCCCGAAGCTTGGAGGGCGCTTACTCAACCAGGGTTTCCCTATGACCCTACAATGATTTATCCATACGGCGCTGGGTGAGTGTTCTTTCTTTTCTTAACAAAAACAGTGTACTGAGACACCCTGTGGTTTCATTCTGTTTTAATGAGCCAAAAAACGCTGAAACATGTACAGTAACGTACACTAGATCATGGTTCTTTCATAATCTGTCAATTCGTTAAAAGACATTCGCATAATGACAGCTTTTCATAAAATTATTATTTAATATGTTGTTTGGTTATGTGAATGGTTGGTATTTTCATGGTTCACGAAGTGTGATACAACCGCGTCTTTAGTAGCTAAATAGGTTTTAAAGCCCCTCGCACAATATCTATAATCCGCCTTTCTACCGTTTGATGTACATTTAATAAATCAGTCAATGAGGATGTTTAAGCGATCTCTAAAGTGTCAAAAATCATAAAGTGGGTTTAGCTTATACAAGATTCAAATCGTAAATTCACATTTCGCTGAGCGATTATTATTTTCTTTTTGTAAGAAAAAAAACCCCTCAAACATTTCTTATCAATTTAAAATAAGCATGGAAAGATTGACAAAAACTCAGATGCTTTGTCACGGTGTATAAATAAAAATATATTTAAAATATACATATATACCAATGCCACACAAGTCGTGGAGAAAGGAGGGACGAAATAAATGTTGTCGTTACTGTGTTTTTATATGGAAGAAAAGTCAACGAAAATCTTCAACACATAAAAGGCGCTATTGATCCGGGTGAAACTTTACAAATATTATGAAAGGATAGCGAGAATAATGGCTTGTTTGGGCGAAATGAGAAAGAGGGAAGAAAGGAGAAAGCGAGATAATGTTTTCAATTTTCTCTGTCCATTATGTACGGTCTATTTCCACTGACAGTTTTTCTAACAGAATTTAAAGAGTCTAATTTACTAAATGGCATGACTACATTTAATTCGTTCTTCAATCACAGACAATTCACTACCGCCATATTGTCTTTCTTCTGTTGTGACACTAGTTTGTTCTCCCGCGGGTTTCTATATTTTATTTGAACGATTCATTATTTTTGTTTTTCCCTTTATGTTTATTGTAATGATTAAGGGACATAGTAATGCAATAGATATCTTCTACGGTCAATTTTCTTGTCCATTTTACCGTTTGTCCGGAACGAAAGTTTAATTCTAAAATATACACTACAGTACTGATAAATATAATGTTAAAAGAGCCAATGTTGAGATTTAAGTGATTCCGTGTTTAACTGTCGACAGTTCAGATATAATGGACTCTGTGTTCTGATGTCGGCTGTTTAAGCCTAAAACGAAATGAAAGCTATTAAGGAAACAGGCTTCCGTTTAATATCTCCAAACGAAATACAGAGCTTGCCCCATTATTAATCGAAATAAAAAATCAATTCAATATTTTATTTCGACCTAAATGAAACAGGTTTAACTCCTTTAAACTAAATATGTTTTCAGGCAGTACATGTCATCAAACATCATTTCTACCTGTTGAAACGGGTTTTCCATATTTTTTTCATTTATCTTTATCTTTTTTTTCCGCCCAGGTATGGCGGTCTTGATTTAAATTCTAGACGTAAAAATGCCACCCGAGAAAACACAACTACATTAAAAGCCTGGCTTTATGAACACAGAAAAAATCCTTATCCTACGAAAGGGGAGAAAATAATGTTAGCCATCATCACAAAAATGACCTTAACCCAAGTTTCTACCTGGTTCGCCAACGCTAGAAGACGATTGAAGAAAGAAAATAAGATGACCTGGTCACCGAGAAACAGATCGGAGGACGGAAGTGATGGATTGGATAACGGGGACGTAGATTCCGACGGCGGAAAGGAGGAAGGAAAAGACGGACGGTCAACTCCAGGTCTTGGAGATTTGGGTTCCGGTAGATCAACACCAACTGGAGGTAAATTGAATTCTTTATTTGCTATTAAGTATATATCATAGAATGTCATGTTCAATAATACATGTATCTTGTGTTCTGCTGTATTTGTTAAAATCATGAATAATGTCGCTGCAAGGGCTAAATACCACATTTACAAAGAAAAATACACACAATGAATTGAATGTAAATCTGCCAAGTATTCGACATTTATATATGAAACACTAACACAAATATTGATTCTACAGTGTACATTTATTTCAATCAAGATTTTCTTATACCACTTGGGCAATTGACGTATTTAAAGACACACATTAACACAATTATTCTTGATCATACCTCTCCATCATGCGTGTTCAAATTAGATTGTAAACAAAACCAGAGAACCATCGATGATATGTAAATTCCAGTCTACGGGTCGTACAAATATTTTAATGGAGTTTACGAACGCTGTCGCAAAATTCTTTACTCTAAATAAGTCGTTTTTCTGTAATTTGGAGAGTCAATGGCTATTGCAATTTTTTCTTAGTGAGAGTGGTAATTCCCCTTTAAACATGAATTTCTGTTCTTGGTGAGAGTGGTAATGCCCCTTTAAACAGGCTGACAAATTCTACCGGCCACTTCGTCTAGGTACACCCGACCCTGCCCCCCACCCACGTAACAATCTTCCAAGTAGACAGCTTTTGAATTTCAGGCATATAACCACACGGTCCTTTTTGTTAGAACTGATTGCAGTACACCAGGCATGATATACTTCCTCATCGTAGAACACCCGCTTTCACTTCTTATTTATGTGGAAAGTTGGCATAGCTAACAAATAAAATTGTTGTTTTATTTAAATTCAAAATTACACAAGCCTTTTTACACCTGCTACAGAAAGCGAAAGTCAGTGACCTTCAATTCTCTTAACATATTCACACGACTTTTTTTGAAAAAGTACATATGTAGTAAGTTGATATTTATTTGGTCAAGATTTGTTCTTTATGGCATCATCTGTCATATTGAGTTTATTTTTGTCGTGAAAATTATTTCATTATTATTTATATTATTTGTATTTTACGAGGGGAGCCCCGAGCGAAACATGGTCACAACATTGAGTAATTTATCACAGACAAATGGCAGACAAACACAATTTGATAGGGGGATGTTTTACAATATTATACTCACTAGTTAATTCGCTATTATGATGAATTGTTTTTGTTACAAATCTGATTTATTTCTCATGTAAATCCTAATTTCTTTGTTGTAATTCAGTTAATTCTTTTAGAGGTGCAATAAAATTCAAATTTTGTCTAGTAAATATAGATGAATATTCCCCGCAGTTATTTGAAAGCGTATATTTTCGTCTTCATTTGACAGGTCTGTGTGCTCGGTTTCATACATCAATCTTCTACGTATTTAACCCGATTAATATTTTGTATGAAAATCATAAAAACGCATTTTAACCTAGTAGGCTATAATTTGCCATTTCCAGTCGTTGAAAATCGACATTTGATGAGAAAGAGTGTTCAGGGAGACATTTAATAATGCAGCCATTAGGCCAGAGCGAGGAAAGAGCAGTAACTGAAATATTAAGGGGTTCAATAATGAAATTAAATCGCTACTTGCCAAACAATGAAGCCCCATTGAATGTTTTCAGTTGGAGGTCGGTTCGATTTCCATTAGGCTAGAATAGTTTGCGTATTCGTTTGTTGATCTCTGTCACGCTAAATGATTTCAAGTTCATCGATGTTTCCATTTGTAGTTGTTCATGTTCTAGTTCCACCAAGTAAATAGTGGGATGTTGTTTTTTTTGCCGGTTCATTTAGAAACAACTGTAATTAGCGTTTTTATTTTCCTCCACACAAATTTGTAAAGCCAGATCGAGGACAAACATCCCAGAGAGGATGATTGAAAATAAAAAGAGTAAAAAATGAATTAGTTTGTATTATTATAAATGCATCATATTTATATCAGCGCATTAAGATACAAGGGAGCATTATGACTGAACACCTAATACCATTTCTCATTTTTGAGCAGATCCCATAACTGTTGTCTCTTTCCTCTGTATTATAATAATAAGAAAGCATCCAGTTAGTTACGAGTGTCGTAAAGGGGACAGGATATGCGTATTCTTCCCAAAACATCCGATAATATTTCTCACCAGATGGAAATTTCACATAGCTGCACTTTTGTAAATTTCAAATATCAAATAACTGGTATATCTTCGCACTCTTTCACCGAGTGTTGATATTTTCCAAATACCAAGATAAAACCCCGCTAAAATATGATTTATCTTATGGTGGCCTAAGTCGTAAATTCGTATAAATTGACTGCAGTCGCTCACAATGAGTTTATTCAGGCTCTGATATCGCTAATTCCCCCAGGCAAAGCGCCACACGACTTTTATTTGTTAAAATAAATACAAACCCAATATCATTCTATTACAATAAGGTTAGATTTCAGATTAAGCGTTTCATTTCACTCTAATGCTGGATAAATTTGGCAATTACTCGCTTATTTGGAAGAATAAATCGTAGCTTTGTTTGAATATGTAACTGGGAGGACAATTGGGGTTGTTACTTTATCTAAAACCATGTTTAAAATAAAGATAATTTTTCTAATAAGCTGTGCTATAGGCCCTGTGCTTTTAGCTTATAGTCTGTCTTGGCGATTTAGTTTCAAAATGACCTAGATCAAATTTGGACCAGACGTTAACCCCCAGTTCATTCCTACTGTGTCTTTGTGCTTGATTTTGAAAGGCGTAAATGATTACCATTTCGTAAGCCAGTCAGTTAAACAACTTAATGGTGTCAGAGCTGTAATGGAAGATATGTACATTTATAAAGGGTCTATCATTCATCAATATACACACGGTGTCAAATTATCGTTTCTTCATAACCACCAATTCCTAACCGGAGCCATTTCTGTTTTAACGTTGGTGGACAAATACTGATAATATATTCATGATCATGTTTCTGGCTGCCCTTCATTTAAACAAATCTAAACAAATGTTTGAAAAAAAGACGAACAGTATTAAACAAATATAGTTTTATTGGTGATAACCTGGATTGGATAACATCACGTGACTAGCCCTCTCACCTGTGTGATAAAGATGCAGAGTGTTTGATGTTGCCGCCCCACCTGCCCCCTCAGGTGTTATCGGTTCTACAAGATTTAGCTAATCTTTCCAGATAAAAATCTCCACTCCTAACTTTTAATACAACCCACCTGTCAATCATTGCGTTTCGTTTCCTCGTTCCTGGTGCCGAATTTTTGTAATCAGCCAACATGGCGACTGTTGTACTATGTTTGTATTACAAGAATTTTATCTGTTGTGTCAACTTGAAACCCTTGTTACTGATAAAAATATAGATGAACTATTGATAAACTAAAAAATCTTGAACTTAATGGGTAGTGGAGGTTTTACGGATACGCCCTGGCATGCCAATGTACTAATGTACCGACCGATGCCATTTTAATTGCTGGAACTATTTGTGGTATTTTAGAAAACTGATACTTGTGTTAGGTGGTCTTAGTACTACATCAGTTTTATTTCAAGAAAACATGACAATTAAGTCGACAGATTTATAGTACGACATCGTGTTATTAAGTTGAAACCAAGATTCTTCAACGGTTTGCCCTATGTAACAGTAAATGTTCTATCACGAGTTCTTCCTTTCCCCTATTCCCGCATTATCTGACTATTTAGGAAATTGCTCAAGTTTTGCTAAACATTGTTCTATTCGATGTCTCTGATGCATGATACAGGATATGCTTTCTCTTTCTTGAACACATGATGCCACTTCAAATTTTAGAGGTTTACACAAGTAACACATTTGTACTTTGTGTATGGTGATTTAATCATTCATCCATTGAGTTTTATAATATACAACAATGAAAACTTCATATCCACAATCCCTCCCATTTTGGAGAAAAAAAAGATAAATAAATCGATAACAACTGAAGTTTTAAATACATAATATTTTGATCTGTATGAGTAATGTGGAAAAGAAAACGACCTCTGACTCAGATAATAAAGTCAGCGCTGACTCCCAGAAGTTTGTCAGAAAAAAAAGGTAACAATAAACATGTGAAATAGATTAGGTAATGTCGTGGTTCTTGTTCGCCATGTAGAATTCCTAGTAGAATCACGCTCAACATAATGCTACCGTATATTTTACATTGTTGTATTTGGATGTCATTAAGAGTTGGAATCAAAGCCTGATACAGACGTGATTAGATGCTTATTACTTAACCCCCTCTTTACTACTTCAACTATATAATTTTCATCTCAACCTCTAAACTAACAAACAATAAGCCTGTAATTATTTTCAGTTTTCCGATTAAATTGCGATCGTTTACTGAACAAACCTTCAGAGTGGTACAAGCTGCTCGAGGGAGAGAAATTTGTTACCCAACTGCATACACATGTTGCCCGATTACATCCGCAAATGTTTCAATTCTCCACATGTGAAAATACAGACAACGAAACCCGACATGTATCAATTTCTGTGATATTTTTCAGAACTCGATTTGGGGATAAAATTAGCTGCAAAACAAGATCAGTCGCGTTTACATCTAGTTTAGGGTTTGTTTTCGCTTCGCTTTACTAAAGTTCCTGTCATTTTTTACACTTAGTTAAGAATGTTACTGCTGCCGTGATTTTCTATAATCATGACCACGGTGTTGATAGTTGAATCTCACTTTAAAAATAACATATTTAAGGATGTTTGAAACAATGTGGTTTATTAGGTTTCATTTTAAACGGTGATACCTTTAGATTATGAACTACAAAAAAAGTACGAAACAACACTTCATTGGGATTTCGATAGCTGGACTTGTTGATAGTTCTTGTAGACAACGATATCTTGAGATTACGCAAATGATTGAAATAATACGAAACTAACTAATGGCAGCTGTAGATAAAGAAGAACAAAGAACCATCACAATATGTGTATTGCTTTCAGAAAGTCATTAATTTACGAGCTTAGAACCATCCATCATTTTCTTGAACCTAACACTATTTACGACATAAGAATTTATTAAATACAAACAAATGACTATCTTAGATATTGTCTATTATTTCAATGGGTGGATATTGGAATGTATTCCTTTTATTACAATAATCTTAAAAAGAAACAAACACTAAAAAGTTGTGAAAATTCTTATCACGATTTCATAAAAATATACGACTAAATGTTGACGTTTTGGAGAAAAAAATAATAAAAAGAGATGTTAAAAATTCTTTCTATATTTCACTTTAGCAAAATACCACAATATTTTTACTGATGGACAAAATAAATAAATGTCTTTGAAATATTTCAACATTGGTATATTATTATTGTTCATATAATCGTGTATGAATTTTAAAGAGAAAATAGAACGAGAAAAACCCCACTATCAAACTTAAAAGACTTTTTTTCTGCATGCAATTATACATATAAGTAAGGGTTTTCTGTCTGAAATCCAACTTTAATAGGAAGTGGTACCTGTTGTTCACGAATGCATATTTTCCAATTTTCCACATGTCTTCTCTCAATTCATAGTTTTTATCATGTTTTAAATCTATTTTTATTATTTTGTATTTTCTAGGTGATGATTTAGATATGTTAGATAGTAAAGATGCTTTTATTAATGTTGATGATGAAGATAGTGATGATCACAGTCTACACGATGATAGTTTAGATCCAGATGATGAAGTGTTACGTAGAATGAAAGCTGGCATTGAAAAAGCTGACTCAGACAAAGTGTGTGACTCAACGGAAAGTGTGTCCGAAAATAGTTCTAAAAATAAAAGCGAAAGTAGTGACTCAAGTGTACGTAATGAAGGACATGCTACGGGTACATCGTCCTCGTCTCAGTCAAATAGAGACACCGAACAATCATCTCGTCCTAAAATCTGGTCCATATCTGAATTTTTACACAAAACCTCATCTTCAAGCAGTTCATCATCCTCAAGACCGGCTGCTATATCCACACATGCGCGACCTCCTCATACTTCCGGTTTATTTTACCTGCCAGGAAATCCCAGTGCATGGAGTAGTGGGCGTTATCATGGGGTTCATCCTTACCCCATGTCTCTCAGCCACTCAACCATCTCCTATCCTTACAGTATCACATCTCATGCGGCGGGTAAATCACCGCTTACATCTCCAGCCAATATTCGGGCATTAGACTCTTTCAAAGATGGCGAGAAATTAATGCGCCCAAATGTACTATTTTCACCTGCACGAGATTTGGATGGATTACGACCCAGTGGTAAGTGTATTTAAATATTTATTTCATAATTTATGTGTTCACAATGTTGTTGTCTGTTTGAAAGTCCATTATTATATCATTTACTATCTTTCTAAGACCTAAAAACCGAATAAAAAGATAAAAACCACAGCTTTGAAACCGTAAACCTTAAATCTGGGAGCTTTAAGAGTTGATATGGGGTTGTTATTATATGATATTTATCGCAATTATAATAATACCATTTATTGAAACAGAAATCCGATGTTAGTCTATAATCGTAATGTGTTGAATGACTTCAAAACTGCTTTACGTGCTAAGTCTGTGAGTTGTATGTCGCCAGCTAGTTCAGACTTAAACCAAATAACGTGATTTTAACACTTTGGGATGGTCTTAAACACTGGCGTACAATTTTCTTTTTAAACGTGCATGAAATAATAGAAGAGAGCTAACTTGGTTATTTTCTATTGTATAAACTCGAGTTGGTGTTGAAAACTTTCTTTACTGATGTTATTGTGTTGGGTGTGGGGTCGAACAACCTAAGAACAGATCAGAAGCTGCAACTCTTTGTAACCGAGCACCCAAAAACACCATGATTGTGTAAAATGATCCCCGATACGAGTGTTCGTTGGTTTTCTTCATTTACAAGTTAGTAAATGTCAGGCGTATACAATGTCTTTCGATTCGTCTATAATGTTCTAATGTTGAATAATTGTTACAAAGGTTTAGGCCGGATATGCAAATCTGGCAAGCTAAACTGCATCCTGCTGTATCCCCATTTCTCCGAGTGTCAATCGGTTGTGGTTAAGTCATCAATATTTCATATATGCCCGTTAGTTTGTTTTAGCGGTTGATGAACTGTTGATCGTTTGCTAAAAAAGGTAACACGAACTTTTAGAGAGAGAGAGAGAGAAATGGGGTTTAACGTCCACTCGACACAAACTAGGTCACTTCGGGACTAACACGTGGTTCAATTTTATTTCAATAATTCGCTTGCGCGTAGGGGTCTTTAGCAGTGGGAGGTAACCGGAGGACCCGGAGAAAAGACAACACGAACTTTTAGCATAAAAGTTACCTTGATACTTTATATAGTAAGCCTTATTCTGAAATCATACCAAGGACACCCGACATGTTCCTTTATCCAGGATTCATCATTATTTTTTTCTTATTGATTTGAATCCCACTCACCGCTACCTAATTCTCTTCTTTAAAACCCATGATGTGGAATTTCTACGACTGCTACAAAGATTCTTTCATTTGCCCTAATATTATAATGGTCGTTTATATGGAATTTAGCTATACAATTTCCTGTATTTCACGACCTTGTTTAACTCAGAGACTACATTTAGATGAACGGTTTTGATTCAAGATTTCTCAGTAATCACAGAAATTATCGTGGAATGGTTGGATGAGTTACAGACTGGTTTCGAGCGGCTGTCAACCTCACCTCATTCTAATTACAAGCCATTTAACCTAAACATGTCATCCAGTTTATTGTGAACGCAGGTTCAAGTTGTGCCACTTAACTTCCGTTTCTTGTCCGGCTCCATTCCTGATTTTAGACGCCACTGATCACTAACGCCACTGTTCATTTCCGGTATAGTCGGTTTCTGTAATCCAGCTTGATCTAGGAGTGTGATTGTGCATCTTGCTAACAATGGCTTTAACAACTTCCAAACTGACAACGACTGTTTCAACCAATCAAAATAATCCAGTACCGGAAGCTGAGACGGGACAATCTTGCTCAAAGAAATTGAACGTATTTAGGAAGTCTAATTCGTATTCATGTCGGACTTTTAACGATTAAAATCGAGGTTCCTCGTCTATTCTCTCTGTCAGGCGTTGATGAGTGGTAATCCACGGGAATTGACAAAATGTCAGAAGAAGAAATTAATAAAGAGATGTCCGAAAAGAAATCTTCTTCAAGCTGAATAGAAAAAAGATGGAAGTGCGCATAACTGTTAAAAGATCGTAGAGAATACAATTAAAAACTAAAAGCAAAATCAAATAAACCCGATGTTTTAAGATTGGTGTTAAAGCAGTAATTAATCTCGACGAAGTAAGATTGATATCAAAATTTAATAACGAGGACTGTGACATTGTAAATTTCACAGATGAATCAATCTGACAATATATGGCCGCTGTTGTGGCTTTGATTTATGGACTTGAAACATTAAGGGATGGGGGACGCCAAAATCAGAATGTTTAAATGTTTTTTTTCATAAGATAGGCTATTATTTATTTTTAAAAAAAATGTAAATTGCTTTAATGTTTGTTTAATACGATAGACTTATTATTTATTTATTTTTAAAAAGTAAAATGTTTATAATGTTTAATAAGGTAGGCTTGTTATTTTTAAGTAAACGGTTTTAATGGTTGGTTAATAAGTCCCCCCCCCCCCCCCCCCAACACTGCTTAAAACCCCGATGCGCAAACGAATTATTGGAATAAAATTGAACCATGTTAGTCCCCACTGGATGTTAAACCCCAATTATCTCTCTTTGTTTAATAAGATGGGCATATATTATTTATTTTAAGTAAACTGTTTACATTATTGTTTAAAAGTAAACTGTTTTTGTTAGCAATATAGGCTTATTATGTTTTACATATATATTAATCAGATGGACCCGTTATTGTTTTATTTTCCCAATAAGCTGTTCTTCCTTTTACTAGGGGATTCTGCAATAAAAAATCTATAAGCGTATTACAAAATAAAGGTACTTGAACAAAGTATAGGTAATTTTTTAAAATGGTAATCAGTAAGAATTTATTTTGAGTGTTATAGAATTAACACAAAACTGTGAAAATTAAAAGTTCTTCTGGCTTTAGAATAAAACAAAGAAGGGAGTTCGGTATACAATACGTGGTCTAGATAAATTAAGTCAGAAATCATTTACGATGTTTAACTATGGTCTGTAAGTTGTCCGACATTGAAGTAGTAACCATGTTAATTGGATGTTTTGGGATGTTTTCTGATTTGATTTACATGCTCCCGTTGAAATTTACCAGGTAGTTTAGCCTCGTTAGAAAGATATTAAGCCGCCATCTTGTTTATGTTGGCCAAATGAAAACAGACAGAAGTAGCCCAGAGACAGGCCAATAAAAACTTGCCAAAGAGATCGAAATTCCTGCTTCATTTCTCAGTTTAGAAAGATTTTAATTCAATAGAGTGGACGGAATCATAAAATGAGTATTGATTTTATTCAGTGTATATACATTACTAATATTAAAGTTAAAAATCTGGGTCAAGTGGAAATTACGATATGGACATTTGGGTTACAAAACTAGGTAAATCGAAAGTAGTTGGTTGTTGTGAAACTTGGAATTGTCAGTTGTTCGTTTGTGTTGGTCCATTTCAATGATAAACTTTGTATTTGTGTATTCTAAATTATGCATCCCAAATCAATATTATCCATTGATCATGTCTGCGAATCTATTTCTAAAAATACACCTCAATTCCAATATTATGAGATCAGATATTTCCCTAATATTACACCCTGAAAGACTAATTCATCTGCGATTATCCTTAAAGGTATTGATTATCGAAAGAGTATCATAAAACCTGGCCGCCACCCACGTAGCAATCCTTTAGAGTTTATCCTTTCGATTTTCATTTTTCATAGAATATGTTTTACAATCAATCGACACACCTATATCTTTTGTTCCGTTCTGAAACCCAATAAGAACAGTTCATATACATTATTTTTTTATATATTTATAAAAATCTCAATGATTTTATCAGACAGAATTATTTCAGATGGGATTATTTGGATACAGATGTTTCTTGTTGGTTAGTTTAAGACTTGTCAACTAAGGCATTTTAAATAAATAATACACGAACAGGAAACGCGCGATAATTTAAGTTAAGAGTGACGAAACGTTTACATAATAAAATCAACACCTTTAATCTTTTACTGCACTAAATTAAGGCTTGGTTCCTGAGTTTTACAGCTAACATTTTTCTTGCTCGTTTTTCGTTGATAACCTCTAACCCCGACAGCTACTTGGGTCAAGGGTTGAAGTAAAAAGACAAGGGGTCAGGGGTGATGAAAAAATTAATGGTCCGAATTGTCTTTGAGAAAAGTGGAAGAGATAAGATTTTTAAATCAGTAGGTTTCGGTCAAAGGCAACGTAGACATTCATTTATCTTAAAGTTAAGTCGTTGATTTACAAGAAAATCTATTAATACAACTCACAGCTTAATGCGGTTGGATATTGGAAATGTATAGGGAAAAGGGAAAATTCAAAAATCTTAATTACCACTCAAGTCAAATTTTTATGATTAGCACAAAATTTGATTCAATCGACTTGCGTTCAAAAGAACTTGCAACTTTGTACTGTTTCATGTTATAAGACACACTTCATGACAATGCTGTTTAAAATACGATATGTGTTGAAAATGTATAGGGAAAAGGGAAAATTCAAACATCTTGATTACCAATCTAATCAAATTTTATAATTCGAACAAGATTTGGTTCAATCAACCCAAATTTAAAATACGATATGATGGATATTGAAAATGTATAGGAAAGGGGGAGAATTTAAAGATCTTGATTATCACTCTAATCATATTATGATTCGAACAAAATTTGGTTCATTCAACCTACATTTGAACTTTCTATTGAAGAAATTTATTATGAGAGAGAGAGAGAAATGGGGTTTAACGTCCACTCGACACAAACTAGGTCATTTTGGGACTAACATATGGTTTAATTTTATTTCAATAATTCGCTTGCGCGTAGGGGTCTTTAGCAGTGGGAGGAAACCGGAAAATTTATTATGGAAGTTCAGTAGTCTGATATGGAATTAACAGAAAATCATACATGTCCAATAGGTTTTGTAAACTTTTTCATTGCATCTTCTATTCAATATATAGTCCCCTTAAACATGCACATGTATCCGGAAAAGCTAGAAAGATATTAGAAGCTTTATTTTTATCGTCTTTCTTAAAAACATTTCACTTAATCCTATGAAGCGCACACGGGGTTTTATCTATTTATTTTATGTTTATCTTAGATAAGTAAAAACATTTTTACAACCTTTTCAAAGAGTTAACGATTTAAGATACCATAATATAGTGTCCTGTAAAATTACTTATATCTTGTTAAAGTCTACTCTCTGTGAAATCTATCCGTGGTTTATCATATCTTTAAATTCTCCCCCATCATGGTGGTAAAATGTTATCTTCACACCACAAAGTCCTGATTAGTAAGTCTTTTTTCTGGATCAGAAGATTAGTTCAAATATTACTAAATTCCTCTTAAAGGGACATCAAAATTACAAGAAATATACTTTTGCGAATGTCATATTAAAAGTATAAAGGAACAGCTATTTCTTATTAATTAATGCGCTGTATCCCGGATTTCACGTTCTTCGATGCAAACAATGGTGAGATAAAGGTGATAGAAAATTATCAAATTTGCTAAATTGGAATGTCTTAAACTTAATTTGAAGGAGATCTTCGTGTAATAGGTATAGCAACATCTATTCAAATTGTTTGTCGAGAAAACGATTCTCTACATCAACTGTCCACATTTAATACCAGAATATCTTTATCTATATTTATCATTTTTAGATAAACCTTTTCTCGTTTTTTTATGCGGAATCGCTAGCTACAATAATTTTGAAAAAAAAAACCTCTCCTAATTATTTAAAAAAAAACGTTAAGAAAAAAAGTATAAAAGTATTGGTTATCTCATTATTTTTTTTATTCACCTGACAACTGGTAAACCGAGACCTCCTCCCAGCATGCATTTGACTGGAAGTGATTAGCGAGATTTGTTATAGCGAGAAATGAACAACCTATTTAGATAATTTTATCATCAAATAGCGGCTAACAAAACTTGTTACTGACAAGAAAACAAGAGGTATTTTATCTGTGTGATAAACTTTCTTGGTACAGTGTCTAGAATTATTTTATTTTAGGCGAGCACGTGTCCCTATTTTTATTATTTATCTCTTTAACCCCATCTTTGTTTACAATAACTTATTTCAGATAATATATAAAAGACACAATTTATTTTCAAGAAAGAATAGAGACGCGTTTTATTTCATTTTCACACGAATTTAAGACATCTCTGTAAATATAATTACACCAATATAGACATAAATGATAAATCAACTCGCAATCTTTTTATTTTTTATTGTATACAATTTTTTTTTATTTTAAAATAATAAGCCATAATTAAATATATGAGATAACAGTATGTTATTCATTCATTGGGAAGGTTACTTTAGTAAATGACGTCATGGTAGGCTAAAATAGAAAAAAAAATCTATATTATGTTAATCCTTTATACCTTAATACAAATTAAAATTGTTACCAATATGAATTAACTAAGTAAATGATTGCCATTATCTTATGTCAATGAAGGTAGAATAGAAAATATTCATGGAGTTTTTATGTTTTGAAACAATATGCTGTACTCGAAAATTTTCAAATAAATAGATAGGCAAAGAAAGTCCCCTTTTCTTTTCCACTGTGTGTAATGACAACTGTGTTTAATATTCCCAATAATTGTTCTATTTGATGAAGTAAAGACAAACTCTAAACCTCTTAATTCATCGATATTAATTTTGGCATTGACCTATTAGGTCATCTAGCAATCAAGGCGCAAGGTTTTCCGTATGGCAGTGTTAAGACGTGTGACATGTCGTAACCCAGGCGATACGAGGCGTCAGAATTGATGGAGTTTGGTTTCACTGATCAAACATTTTAATAAGAGCTTGCCGACAGAATATCGAGAGCTTAATACTCCTGATACCGGCTAATTATCTGATTAAGCAAAGAGATTTAACATGACTCGATTCACTGGCGTATTGATTTGGGGCTATTTATGGAAACAATCATTGTTGAAACTTTAATAAAGCGAGACTTTAGGGTGAGGACCACTTATTATTATTATACAAATAAGCAAGTTTTTCAAACAGAGGAAGTTTATTAATCTGCTATATGAATTAATTCGACTTGAAAAGTCACTATGCTGTCTTTGATTGTGTTCAAATTGCATTGCGAATGTTAATCTTTAATACCTTCTTTGAAGTTGCGGTCACCTTCTGTGTGACGTTTGCTCAGCCTTTTGTTCTTGAAGTACCTTTTATTACCGTATGTCAGGAATTAACATGGGTTTGTTCAAGTGGTAACTTTGATGTTCGGAACTCAACATGGAAAATATAGACGAAACACAGATGGTTTTTAGATATCAATCTAATCCGTTCAAAATGTATCGATATTCGTTGAATAACAGTCGTCTTAATATCATTTCATAAGCAACAACTCAATGGCCATGATTGATCTTTGAGACGATTATGCTGGAAGCTTATATTCTTATAAGTGCAAGGAACTAGGAAAAATAGTTAAACCCCTTCAATCATATTAGTACATCTATATGAATTTTCAATCAATTTTATTTAGAAGGATTTATGTTATATCCTTGTTGCAGAATTACGTGTTTAGTAAATTTAAGCAAAAATAATTTTTATCGCAAATAGTAAACATGTGCACGAATGTTTCCCATGTATTTGTTTCGCCGTTGAAAACTCAAAAATCTTGATAACTCTGGGTTACTCACGTCTAAACATTTGGCAGCGTCTTTTAAATGATATCCGCTCCCTTTAGAGGATCATATTAACACATTTATAAGGGTCATCATGGATGATATCCTTCATTGTTTCAACCTTTTTCCGAAAAGGGGTAATTCTTTGGGGAGTACCTCGTCTAGCCAATTATAATCTAGACCAGCTTCGAGTCCCGTATTCAATTTCTACAATTCCCAGCAGACTTTCTGTCAATTAGTCTTTTGAGTGTCTTTCCGAGCCCTTGTCTGACATGAATACTAAATGAATATTTTTAATTTCGCTTCTTTTTATAAACCAATATTAAATTTTAATCCCTGCTAACCAGACATTATTAAAGTTCATGTTTCAAACTGTCATGTTAGTTAATTAGGTAGAAAATTCAAAAATTAGCTTTACAAATGCAGCGAAACGAAACTGTTTTTATTTGTTCGGTACTTGTCACTTTGATGTTCTTTATAAGGATTGTGTCTGAATTGTCTTTTTTTACTAATTAAACAGAAACAGGCAGCAACATTGCTAACACCATTCAAACATAATATAAATATTTAATATATGAAAAGAAATTATGTGACAGACATAATTTTTTTAAAAATTTATCGATTTTTTTTATGTTTCTTTCAGCTGTTCCGGCAAATCGACTAGTAGAATCTAATATTTAGAATTATCTGCCCCTGTCTCCTGTTTGTTTTGATGTTTTAATTATTTATAGATTGGTTCAGTATTAGTTATGGAATAAAATTACAAGACCGGATCAAAACACACGTTAACAAAGGTATTATTTTATTGCAATTTTATACTTACAAGTTTGATACACACATACTAAATGGTTATACCTTTAACCACGTGTTTTAGCTAAATCAGCCTTTTGGCGTTCCTAATTTTTAACAAAAAAATATATTGCGAATTGTACATATAAAGTTAGTCCAGAATTGAAGAAGACATATCATGTAAGATGGGGGTGTTTCGCCAGCCATTAGACTACTTTGCCGTTGAATTTAATCACCCCTTGTTATCTGTTTAAGATAGTTTACATATAAAATAGAAATTTGTTAATTCCGCTGATAAGCATTTTTATTTTTTTTCGCTTAAAAAATGAATTGTCCTTTGTGTGTGAGTGTGATACATCAGAATGAAATTTGGTAGCTTTAATTAAAACGCGCCTCGCTGAATAAAAAATAAAACATTTTGAAAAAGGGTCCATAAAGAAGTGTCAGGGTGGTTTTTAAGAGAAAGCTACCAGCTTGAAATGTTTTAAATAAATCTTCGTTTTTTCAAAATGTTTTGTAAAATTGTATCTTTGTTTATGAAGATCGTCTTTTGTTTATGTTTAAACAATGCGATGGATTGTGGTGGGGATGTCTTATCAAATTTATTACTTAACTAAACAATTAGACACAGATGTTCTGTAAGAAGTTCTCCATTACGTGAAATAGTAACCGACACTGTTTGGAACCAATCTAAACTAGACCTTCAATTGTTCGCGAAACCACTTAGATATTTCATCACAAAATACACAAGAGCCCCCGGGGTAGTTTATCTTCATTTTGAAACCGTGAAATATACAACTGTGTGCGATTACACTTCAACTTTTCAACATTTCATTTGGCACGGTATCTGTTTAAAATACCGTAAATGTACCGTTATAAGCTATTTACTTTTATACACATATAGACAATAGTAACCATTGTGTACATTTCAAAATACAGGTTTTGAAAATCGGTTAAGAAAAATCAAAATCTACTTTTTGTTAAATGATTTCATTCGTGATTTTCAAAATCCATGCAATGGCCAACACTTAGCCGTTTTAAACAGTTAACAACGAGGTGTAAAATAGAAATAAACTTTTTATTATCTCGGGAGATATATTCTGCTTATGAGATTGTCGAAATCGAGGGGGAAAATCACTATTTTTTATGATTTCATTAATGAATTCAAAAAATCAGTATAAGACAGTTTATTCTGATGTCGGGGTTGATGACATAAATTTATATTGTCTTGGGAGGTGTTCTCAATTTGACTTCGATTTATCTTCACGTTTTTATACTTTTCGTATAAAAAAGAGAGTCTATACATTTTGTTTTTATTTTTAGTTGTTGATTGACGTAAATTTACATAAGATCTATTTGGGAGTTTGATTTTTGTAACCTTTATTTATTTGTCTATTTGCAGACTTGTGAGTTAGAACGGTAGACGGCGATCTTCTTGTAGAAAAATCAACAAAGATTGATGTCTAATCACCGTTTGTCGACAAGTTGAAAAACAAAACAACAAGTGAAGGCGACAGAAGTGAGCCGTAAGGTGGACACAAATCGTGAAGGAATACAAATGTTCAACTCTACCTGCTTCTTCGAGATTCTTAGACACGAAAACCCACTCAGTGTGTGCTCCTCGGTCACGATGGCGTCATGACAGACTGTGGAATTTGCATAATTCAACGTTTTAGCTTAATGGTGGCCATTAGAGGTATTGTTTTATCACGCACGCGAACACCTCGCGCTAATGTAGACTTAAAGAATTAAGAGAGAAAAGAAGCGCGTGCAGTTAGCGTCTTCATCATGGGGTGTGACAAACCAGACATTTTTTCTTACCTCCAGTGCTAAAGATTTAAATTTTTAAAGTGACACGCCATATTAGTGAAATTGTTGAGAATGTTTTAAGGCATTAGACAGTGCTTTGGTTGTTCGTGAAACACGAAACTCGCCGACGATAATTTGAATAAATAAATAAATAAATGAATGCATAAATAAACTGTTTTGATAACAATACTGAATATATTGGTGCAATTACAGAATTATTATTATTATTATATTATATATCTAATGTTTGTTTATTATTTGTAAATATAAATACGTATACAATGTTGTGCTATAAACAGAGAGATATAATCTGTTAGAACGGACACTTTTTGCCAACCAAAGACTGTTAATTGGTTTTGACATAAACATTTTAATATGAATGTGTTTGTGTGAAAAGCCTCTAAGAGAAATCCATTCATGTTTAATGTTTTGGAAATCTTACGAAAAGTAGAATTAAAATATTTAAAATTCATGTGTTCTTTTTTTATTATTTTATTTTACATTGTACTTTATAGAAAAGTGGGTATTATTATTTTATTATACGTTATAGAAAAGTGCATTATATGTTATAGGAAAGTGGGTATGCTTATTATATTATAACTTATAGAATAGTGAGCGGGGTTATTACATTATACCTTATAGAAAGGTGGGAATAATTATTGGGTATGGTTATTACATTATATGTTATAGAAAAGTGGGTATGGTTGATACATTATAGAAAAGTGGGTATGATTATTACGTTATACGCTATGCGTATGGTTATTGCATTATACGTTATAGAAAAAAGTGGGTATGATAACTACATTTTACGTTATAGAAAAGTAGGTATGGTAACTACATTATACGTTATAGAAAAGTCCACTGCATATTCATTTATCTCGTTGCAGTACATAGAATTGCCACATTAATATAAACTCATTTACTAGAAAATGTATGTCAAAAAGACAGGAAAACAAGCATAACACTTTTCGTATTTAAGGCAATGTTATAGTAAATCTGTCTGCGATATCACCTCGGTGGAAGCGGACGTAAAATACAACAAACTACTACTAAATCTACAAGAGGCACAAATCCAGATTGACCATATACTCGCTGTTAGTATATAGCTAGTGAAATCAACCCAGACTCTTAAATATCGACCTTTTGACTCACTAAATGACTTTCTACAACACCTTTGACCAAGCAAATAGAACGTACCCGATTTACCCTTTGCTGATGTCCCACACGCCCAACACTTGGTCCAACTTCTTTACAAAAATTCACACACTCCACTAATTACTCATTGTACCGTATATCGACGGTATTTATCACTTTAATATACTCAACTAATGCAGCTAATCTTGTCGTTTACCTTAACACGTTTATAAAATACACAACATTCCCTCAGCATCCCCTTATCACCTTGGTTGACTGGAATTCTAGACCCATTAATTGGTTGATGATAATCGGATAAGATTTGGGCGACAGGTGAAATGTTTGCTCTAGCACGGTGGAGTAGGATTAGATGGTAGCCCAATGGCTCTTCATTAATTACCTACTTTCGTTCAAGTGGTTATTTGAGGGATTTTGTTATCAAGTATTGAACTGACATGTTTGACAGAGTTTGACAGTAACGTGCTAGGTGGCTACCATTTTGATAAAATGTCCAATATGATTACAAATCCCATTTCCTGATTACATTGCAGTCAACATCCGGAGTATTAATGTAAATGTATATATCAGTTGATGGTGGGTGGGAATATCGTTTTATTTTCTAAATTTAGCGACTCTACAAAATAAAATCAGTATTTAGTCATAACGTTATGTTCTAAATAATCGGTGGGCTAATACATCAGCAGTATAACTTCTTGCTTCATGAGTAAGGTTTGGATGCCAATTGACCCGAGGGAGTTAGAGAGAAAAGGGATTTAACCTCGACTAGATACAAACTAGGTCATTTCGGGACTGACATATGGTTCAAATTTATTCAATTATTCGGTTGGGCGTAAGAGTCTTTAGCAGTGGGAGGAAACCGGAGGACCCGAAGAAAACCCACGAGGTTGGGCAGGCGACCATATTCCCTGTCACGTACATGCGGGAAATCAACACCATGCCAGACTGTCTGATCCAACGCGCATGCGTTAACTATTCTCTCCACGACTTACTAGACAATTTAAATCTACATTGATGTCGTTATCAATATTTGATATCCAATATTTAAGACAAAAGGAAAAATTTAAAATTGGCACACGAATTGCGTGTCAGAATGCTTTTTAGCGCCATTTATGATGAAGTGACTCGATGAACGAGGCTAAACATATCCCACAGGAGAATACTACCAATGTAGACTGGAATAACCAGACACCAAAGACGGCCATTCAATTGGACTCTTCGCGTATTTCGACGAACATAACTGATTAGAAATTACAGTACAAACAGAAACGATTGAATTAATGTAAATCAGTTTATATACATTCATATTACATTATTATATGCGTTGTGACCCATTTGTGTCCATTTCTAGGTGCCAGAGAATAGAGATTTAGCTCCTTTAATGTGGGTACTTATCTTTATGCTCCAAATCGTCGCCTTAATTAGCTGTAAGTAGTGAAGGGTGTTGTGTGTATTGCAGAATATTTTTTACAGTTTGTAGAACCTCTGATACCACATCGCTTCCGATTTATCGAAAAAATGTACACATCTATGAATTTCGTGTTTATACACCTTAGAATATTTCCAAAATCTAATACAATAACATGCATATATATAAGAAAAACAAATAAAAACCTGTTTTAAAATGATTATAGGTATATTTAAATAAATCTAGAAGCATTGTCTAAAACTTTAAGTTAATTGATATTACAGATGGAAAAAGTTTACGACTATTAAAAACACATCCACTTTACCCAAAAAGATAAAGGCCAGTTATGGACACTGTCTGAACTATTACCATTATGATAATGATGCCAATTTAAACCACGGTGTTTTACGACATATTTCTGGAAAATGCCCCAACAATTGATGGTTACAGAAAATGCCCCAAAAATTGATGGTTACAGGTCCCAAGAAAAATCACCTGACAAAATCATGTAGGATCTTACCACGGAATAAACGTTTAAAAGAAATATAGATTCCCCTTTATACACGAAAGAAAACGATTTTTAGTTCAGACTGGTATAAATGATGCCGGAATAAAAATCTTTTACTCACGACAGTAAAGTAAAAAAGCTGGCAGATAATAATAACAGTATTGTTAGTGAATAAAAAACAAAACACTGAAAAACAATCAATCTTAATAATTCTCTCCGTCTTTAAAAACATCCATCATCCGTAAAACTGAAAAGGACACGAAATATTCTGTTTTACCTAGGCCAGCAATAAAGGATTGTATTGTTCCATAATCGCTGAGTTTATTGTCTTTTAGCAATGAAGACAAAAGATTATTATATTTTCTCCAGAGAGATTAAGGAATAAATCAGGATGTAACTGTAAAATACACGTGTAAAGATATTAATTGACATGAATCTGTCATTGATTTTGTGTACACGATATGGAATAAATGTCGATGTTAACAGATTAATTTCTCAAAGCAAATCAAGACTTCAATTGGATATCTCAACCTTTGTTTAGAAATAGCACAATCTGAATTGTTAGCTGTCTGAACTTCTGTTGTTCTGAATATAATACGTAGTTTGAAATATTCACACAATTTGAATATCAAGTAAACCTAAATTAAAAGTGAATTCTAAAAATAACAATTTGCATACGTTATTAAATCTTTGAAAATACATAGTATATTAATATAAGCAATTATCAAAGTAAAAACCAAATGATCCGTAAATATTTCAATAATCAAATAATATACCCTTTTTTACTTTTTAAAATAACACAAAACAGACCGCATAAATGAAAATGGCTATATAATTATTATTACTTTTATCAACTCAAAGCGATGAAAATGGCGGATAAAATCAACAGAAATTAATGGGCATAACTTTAGACAGAAATGATCGATTCAACGACTCAAATGACAGAAGACTTTCTGTGTTAATATGAGTATTTGCCATGGACTTTTATGGAGTTTGAATTAAAATTACCAATACGCACAAACTTTCAACCTCGAAAAGTAGACATACACTTGAGGAAATATGAATCGTGGCTGACTGTTTTTATGACAAGAAACAACTATCGATATGGGTGGCTTCATCTCAAATCACGATGTTCACACAAATTATAGAATTAGTTCAAAACTTGTTTTACAATTCAATAAAAAGATTGGGTTTGATGTGATTTACAGTAGCTCCATCTAGCGATGAGGTATGGGCGGTAAAATAAACCGTCCTTTGATCTTCAGCTCTTCATTTATCCTCGAGTGTTTTCAATATTTGGAGAAGGCATCAGAAATTCACCCCGGGTCGCAAGAAGGAGGGCCTCGGTGTCGTCTGTTTTAATCTTCAATTGTTGTTTGGTTGACTGGTTAGCAGACGTGAACTGAGAAGAATTTCCCGCGGTTCAAGAGGGGGAATTGAAGAGTGTTAGACCTGCTAGAAATGCCTCTTATAATAATCATTGAAGTTTGGAGATGTTTTGCTACACTTCAGGGAACTTATTTTTGTTCTTGAATTAGCCAAAGCGGACACTTTTTTTGCAATTGACACACGATGGAAATAAAGAAACAAAGGAGATAATTTGTCGAAAATCCATTGGTTAAGTTTGAAAAGTTAATGATATAAATATGAATTGTTATCTTTGTCCACCTATTATTCAATGAAGGAATTTAAAGAGCGCATCACCAGAATATCTAATGCATGATTAATTAAAGACGAATGTATCTAAGCAGTTTGTATGATTAAAAGGAAACAGAAGAAAAGCGAATCAAGTAGGGTGAAACCTCGAAAAGTTTTCAGTTTACTTCACATTGTTCGTCGTTTGTTTGTAGAGAATTAAAATTGTTTTGACTTGTCCTTTACACGTCTTTGATGTTGAGGTTTCGTTCTATCGCTCCTTTTAACTCGTGTCCGCATTCCGTCATTTTTTAACTGACAAGTGCGTGCTCACCACAATATGGCCGCAGTCTGCAACATTTCACACCCCTAGTAAACACACATACATCACTGGAACTAGTCAATCACACCAGTAAATTGAGTAAATCATTTGGGTGAAATGTGTTGAATGTTATTGCCCATATCAACAATGATAAACTACAGCAACTATAAGCATTCTAAGCATAATCTTTTAACTTAAAGAGGATCATTTGTCTTTACAAAATCCAAATGAAATGCAGGAATACATTCCATTAGCAGCAGTGCATTAAAGGTAATTATGTTCTATGGAGAAATATATTTGGGTCAGATATGCGCCCCTATATGGAAGTATAATAGGTGTAATGACAAGGAAGAATCTATTTATAGACTCAAATTAACTAATAGATCACAATAAATTAAACAAACTCGTTATTACAGAACGACAGTGATTGATCCTGGCGTTCATAAT